AAAAAATTGAAGTATAGTTCTGCCATTTTTATATGCATACCAGCAGTGTATGGGAGTTCTCCTTGCTCTACATCCCTACCAACATTTAGTATTGTCAGATGTTTTTTAAAAGATTTTACTTATTTATTTGAGAGAGCGAGAGTAAGAGTGTGCAAACTGGGGGGGGGGGTCAGAGGGAGAGAGAGAGAATCTCAGGCAGACTCTGTGCTGAGCTCCATACCAGGACCCTGAGATCATGACCTGAGCCAAAACTAAGAGTCGGATGCTCAACCGACCGAGCCACCCAGGTGCCCTTATTGCCAGGTTTTTTAAAGATTAAATGTGTGTGTGTAAAGTGGTGTCTTATGTGGTTTTAATTTTCACATTAAGGAGGGATAATTTGAAGCCGATGTGTGAAGGGTGAGACGCAGATGAGGTGAAGAGAATGGGTGATAAGCATTCTGGGTAAAGGTCACAGAATGCTTGATGGCCCCAAGGTGGGAAGGAGCAGAACAATCACAAAGAACTGAATAGGGAATGTGGGGTGAGGTGAGGCTAGTGAGGTAAGTGGTGGGAAGCACTGGACCACTCATCTTCAAGGGACCATGTGGGTCTGGGCAATGCAGTGACCAGAGGAAGCTAAACAAATGAACAAATAAAACAAAACCCACTAATGTCCTGGGCTGCATAAAATCCCAGAAATTTCTTTCATATTTACCCCAGGAAGTAGGGAGGGAAGCTCATAATGAGCAAAATAGAATTTCTTGTCATCTCAGCAGAAAGGTGCTCAGAATAGGGGCGCCTGGGTGGCTCAGTAAGTTAAGTGACTCTTGATTTCAGCTCAGATCATGATCTCCAGTCCTGGAATAGAGCCCCACATCAGGCTCTGCACTCAGCATGAGGTCTGCTTGTCCTTCTTCCTCTATTCCTCTCCCACTCTCGTTCTCTGTCTCCCTCAAATAAATAAATAAAATCTTAAAAGGTGCTCAGAATGAATTAAATTTGATTTAGAGAAATGAAAGAAATGTGCATTTCCTGAATGTGACCACTTGATTGCAAATTCATGTGTACCACATAAGGAAGAGCAGGACTGCTGGGTGGTGGTGAGTACCCATTTGAGTTTTGAGACCAAGAATTTAAAATGAAGTCATTCAGCCTGTTGGTGTGATTTCTCTCTGACAACATTCAGCTGCTCAGGTGCAGGCATGAACGCTCATCTCAGACTGTAGTGCTTAGCTAGACTGTGGTTTTTCCAGGAAAGTGTGTTGGAGGTTGAGGTGAGTAAGGAAATGATTATAATGGTGAATCATGGACTCCAAGCTAGACCAGGAGGGAAATGAAGAATGGACAAGGAACTGTTGGGATTAATGGGTTAGAGGTCTCAAAGAGGCTGAAGACTTAGCAAATAGGGTCCTAGCACACAGAATTGAAAGGCTGGGAGGTGGTAAATGGAGAGTGAGCTATTATATTTTCATATTTTGAAGATGGGGTCCTTTTGGGGTGATTAAAGTGCTGAGGGTGTGAACTTGGAAGGGTAGCTAAGTGAAGAGAGTTGTTGGAGGTGAGATCAAAGGACTGAGAAGCCAGGGTATTGAACAGATCATCAGCATGGATGTTAAACTCACCCATGGTGTTCAAGCATGGTGCTAGTGGAAGGGGCAGGGAAAGATTACATTGGTCGTCAGAAGATGACAGCAATCAAGATGGTCAGGGTAGTAAATCTGAATAGGAAGAACTTCAAATGAGCAGAGATCTTTGCAGGAGGTGCGTGGGGGAAACCATTAGGAAATTCAAAGTCAACTCTAATATCACTATTATATTTTACTGACATCCTTCCTATGGCCAATGAACCGCATCAAACAAAACCATCAGAAACCTTTCAACTGGGAATGCTTTATTATAGGTCTTGCCACCAGGAGGCGCTGTCAATAGTGGAACGCGGACCTCCAAGCAATCCCCGGAGGCCAGGAAAGTGTGTCTCAGCCTGAGCACTGAGGACCCCTACGGCTCTTGTGAGATATTGCAAGGAGCTCAGCCATCCTGCCACACAGCTGCGCTTACCTGTAGGGAGATTCTAAGCGTCTGTAAATCTTAAGAAAAAAAGAAAAAAAAAAAAAAAGAACAAAACGCAGATTCTTAAATTCCTTTAACGAGGTTACTGAGCTATTGGAAGGTTTTAGTTATCATGTATTTTTCTAACAAAAGAGGTCTAAAAGTACAGCTACTATCATGTACTGGTTTTTTTTGATTTTTAAACAATTTTTTAAAGATTTTATTTATTTATTTGAAAGAGAGAGACACAGTGAGAGAGGGAACACAAGCAGGGGGAGTGGGAGAGGGAGAAGCAGGCTTCCCACCGAGGAGGGAGTCTGATGCAGGGCTCGATCCCAGCACCCTGGGATCATGAGCTGAGCCGAAGGCAGACGCTTAACGACTGAGCCACCCAGGCACCCCACTATCATGTAGTTTTATGATATTTTCTCCTGGGTAAAAGGAGTCCACATAACTGCAGGTTTTGATAGTTGATGGTAACACCATACTTAAAAAAATTTTTTCCGCAGGGGCACCTGGGTGGCTCAGTCGGTTAGGCATCTGCCTTCGGTTCAGGTCATGATCCCAGGGTCCTGGGATGGAGCCTCCTGTCAGGCTCCCTGCTCAGGAAGGGAGTCTGCCCTCTCCCTCTCCCCCTGCTTGTGCTCGCTTGCTTGCTCACACATTCTCTTTCTCTCTCCCTCTCATATAAATAAATAAAATCTTAAAAAAAAATTTCCCCCAAATTATTTGTTGTAAGTAACATGACACAGTGGAAAGAGTATAGGGCTGGAGTTAGAATTGCAGCAGCAGCAGCAATATTTATTATCTTTATAATCAACATTTGAGTGTTTACATGCACCAGAAACTGATGTGAACATTGCATATAAATTGATCATTTATTCCTCCTATAATCTTATGAGGTAGGTACTATTATTAGCCCCATTTGACAGAGAAATAGGGAGAGATTAGGTCACTTGCCCAATGCCACACAGCTAATAGGGGTCGTGGGGGTAGTGGGATGGACTTGAATTTCATTTTTCCCCTAACCAGAATAGTTAGGAGAAAACACCTCTGAATCTCAGTAGCTTAATTCAACAGACATTACCTGCTTTACACAGGTTGGCAGGAGGCCTGGGCTTTTATTGTGCTAACTGAGGGACCCAGGCTGACATTAAATTTCATTTTGACACATGCTTTCACCATCACCATCACTGATCTCCACACAAGGTAAAGAGCATCCTATAGTGTCTGCAATGGCAATGAAATACTTCTGCTTGAAAATGATGTGTGTCATCTCATATTTCACCAGTCAAAGCAAGTCTTACGCCACTCCCACCTTCGAGGGGGCAAGGAAATGCACTCCTGCCATAAGCCCAGAAGGAGTCAAACCAGACTGTTTGGTACTAATGATTACCACTAACACTCAGGCCCTGGGCAGGTCACGCCTTTCTTGGCCTCAGTTTCCCTACCCACAAAATGAGCACAATCATTTTGCAAGGATCCCTTGTTATGAGGCTCCCTAATTAAATGGGGATGTTGATTATGGTTATGGTTGCATCCCACCAAACTTCCACTAGCCGAAAATCTGTCTCACCACAGGCAGCCTCGTAGCCCTGCATACACAGCTGTCTGCAGAATGGCCTTTATCCTGGGATACCTGCCAACCTTTTGGTCACACACACACCTAAAGTCTCGGAGGATATTGCTTTCATTTCCATCAACAACGTGCGACAGTTGTAGTCCCAGTGTTTGCTCAAAAGCTTAGTCTGGAACCACCAGCTGTCCAGTTCATGTTGAAAGCTTGAGACTACTTTGGCTTGAGCCTGTGAGGGTCTTGGTGAGTGTTCCTTCCTTCTGGTTCCCCAAGCTCGATCTTTGAATTGAGTCAGATCACCAGGACTGTTTACTTGTCTTCTCACAATTTCACTCCACAGACACTCCCCAGGATGTCGGCTCTGACTCAGAGATGAGCTAAGCTACAGAAACTCCTTTGTTGGCTAAGGATTGACAGTGCTGATAGCAGTACAAAAAAGTACCCTTAAAAAGTGCGTTTTTCACTTCCGTGCAAACAGTAGTGACCACACTGCAGAGCACTTCGCTGGCTCCTTTCCTATGGGTCGTTTTGCTGTGCAGTCATTTGTCTCTTCCTTGTTCCTCTGATAGACTAGGTTGTGAACTTCGTGAAAACGGGGAAAATCTTTTCATCTGGGTTTCACAGCAGATGTGAAAACTTGGTACCCAGCAGGTTCTCAATAAATGTTCGCTGCATAAAAATGCTTCTGAAGATTCTCCGTGTAAGTTAATACACGATGATTTCCTTGTAGAATTTAGTGTCTATGGATGCGCAATTAGGCTAGCTGAACTTCAGGCCCTGAGATTCTGTGAAACTAAAATAAGGTCGAAATGGGGGAAGAGGAGGAGAAGCGTGCGTAAAAGGAGGTCATCTCAAGCGGCGGGAGCAAAGGTGGAAGCAGGAAGCAAAAGGTAACGTCGGTCACGGGGAGGACATCACTTTGCCTGGAAGATTAAAACAGGTGAAAGAGGAAGGTTGGAGCCAGATGCCTGTAGGGGTCTAAGGTCAAAGTCCAGAAGGAAGAAATAACAGGATTTTGACTGGAGACAATGAGAGGAAGGGGTAAAAAAGGCAGTGGTGCATCAAATTCTGCGGCCAAGAGCGCCAACAAATGAAAAGCAGGATGAGAGGAGGAAATATATCCTGTCCCCAAAGCTTCCTCTTATCTATGGGCGCTCCTGTTTCACAGAGGGTAAGCCGAAAGCAGAGTCTACGGTTCCTCAGGGCCAAAGGAGTAGAGGAGCCCCGCCCCGCTCCGTCACGTGGCCAGAAGCGCCCTTGGCACGTGACCCATCTCGCTCTAGGCCAATCAGCTTCCGCAGGGGCGGGACACCGAGTCTGGGAGGCGGGAGCATCAGGGAGGCCGCCTCTTCTCGCGAGCCTTGCCTCCGTCTCTCCTTAGCCGCCCACGGCCCGGAGAGAAGATCTCGCGAGGCTTGGGCGCTGCGGCGGTAGGAGGAGGACGGAGAAGGACGGAGCCTAGCTGTTGCTGCCTCCCTCGCTCACTCCCTCGCGCACTCGCCCGCCCCCTCCCTCCCTCCCCTCCCTTCCCCGGCCCCGGCTCCGGCCCCGGCCCATTCGCTGTTCGGTCTTTCGCAGGGAGGATGTCGGGCTCGTCGCTTCCCAGCGCCCTGGCCCTCTCGCTGTTGCTGGTCTCTGGCTCCCTCCTCCCAGGGCCAAGCGCCGCTCAGAACGGTAAGCGGGGGGCCGGGGGCGGGCCGGGCGGGGGCCGAGGGACGCCGGCGGCAGGAGGAGGCCGTCCCGGGCCCGAGGAGGTGCCGGAGCAAGGGGAAGAGGGCCGGTGGAGAGTCTGAAGGGCTGCGCACCCAAGGGGAGATGCCGGTCGGGAGTTCGAAGAGGCGCGGGTGTGAGAACCGAGGCGCCGGTCCTAGAGGTGGGGGCGTCCGTTAGGAGCTTGAGGTGTTGCTGACTTACAGGCTCCACGTCGTGGGGCCCGTCGCTGCGAGTCGGCGAGGGGACACCGGGAAGCCCACGTGAGGAGCTGGAGTAGCGGGGGCGGATGAGGAGGGGGCGCAGCTTTTAAAGAAGGTGGTAGAAGACAGGTATTTGTGTTTAAGGCGACGAGATTGGTGCCAGTCAGGCTCCCCAAGAGAATGGGGGTCCCGGGCCCTGGGGTCATCTAGGATTCTACGGGGGCCCCGTGAGACCGGTGACATCCTTAAAAAATAAGGGAGACACTGGGGGGGAGGGGAGTCCTGAAGAATACTGAGCAGAGTACTAGAGCCCCAAGGAGGGGCAAAGACTCAGGGAACCTTGGGTATGGAGGTGGAGGGAAGGTAGGTGGGAAGCTAAGGTAGTGGGTTGGCTGCAGTAAGGGATCTGGAAAGAGAAGCAGCTGTGGCTCTCAACGAGATGGGGGAAGAGGGCTGGGTTTGCTAAGGAGGGTGGAGTGTTGGGCATTCTAGGGTAGTGGTTGGGAGAGCAAAAAGGAGTTTCTAAATAAGGAGAGGAAAAATGAGCAGAGGATAGGGAGAAAGGGTTGAAACGGAGGTAGGGGAAATATTTATTAGAGCAATAAGGGTGCCTAGGTACAGAGATGGGGGTGGGGGAAAGACAAAATAAGGGAAGGGAGTAAAATGCAGGAAGCCGGGGGTGTAATGTTGGTTTGCAGTGTGGAGGGTATATCAGGGACGGGAGGAGCTGAGTTGTGGCGAGTGCTGTATGATATTGTTTAGGCCTTTGGGAAGACAGACACACATAACTGGAACTGCAGTGATGGAACTGGATCTGACTGAAGAGAGGGAGATGGAAGAAGTGGGTTTTAAAGATCTAAAAGTTTCAAAGCAGACAGACATTATTTCTAAGGACCACGAAAGTAGTTCCTGAGATGTGTGCAGTCTATAGTGGAAACAATTAGGTTTTGAGCTGAAGCTCTTTAGAGAAGATGGAGAAATCGTGGGAAATCATGGTAGTGGGGGATCAAGACAAAAAAGATTCTGTGTTACAATTCAGCTGCTGAATTGATCTTTCAGAGGTGAAAAATACTGTGAACTATTTTCTGCTTTTGTGGAAACAGCCTTTAAGAGGTTTAAAAATATTTTTATAGGAAAGAATTTATGAGAAGTCCCTACTAGCGAGTGAACTACAAATTATTTTTGCTAATTCTTCAGTGTCTCGTTATACTAGAACAATTTAAAATTACTCTTGTTAAAATAGTTGGAATTTAATGGCTTTCATTAAAAAAAAAAAATCAATGACAGAGCCAATGGAGTTAAGTATCCTAGGGAGAGTCTGGGCTTAAAATGCTGAAGATTATGGTGAAAATATATCAATAAAGGATTGAAAAAGCACCATCAGTTAAATATAAGTGTTTGTTGTACCAGATTGCACTAATCAAATCTTATGTATGCTTCGTGGCCTTGAATTATCACTGAAGGAGTCAGGAAGGAAATATCTTTAAGTCTCTAGCATTGAGTATGTGAAGTCGGTTGGGTATTTTTCAGTTTCCTCCAAAGCTTGAGGCCACTGTGGAAGGCGGGGTAGAGTTAGTCTGATTCGTCTCATCAGTTTTTAGTTTGTGTTAACAGTATTACTTAAAGGAGCCTAATACTAATTTCAGCTATTTGATTTGTGGAAATAGCATGGTTTCATTTGGCATGATAGGTGAGAGATTCTTGATCTTAACATGTTTAATCTCTGTGCTGTGGCTTAGCTTCTTTCAATGATTTATAATACGGCGAAATTGTAGTTTCTTAGCAACTAAAGCAATGTTTCTGGATAGGCCTACCAAAGACTCGACTGGCTATTCTCAGTGATATGTGTTCTAAATACGGCATAGTGCAGCTTTTCCTTGAAATGAGCTTGAATTCAGTCATATGACCTGACTGGTGAAGTGAAGCTTAGCCCAGTAGTTGACCCAAATGAATGTAAATTTAATTTAAGGAAGAAATGGTTGTGTTTTTGTATGTTTGAGTCCGTATAGGGAAGGATGCCATTTTATAGCTTTCTATAGCATGTTTTATGATAAGATTCATGCTTTCAACTGGTAATAGCCCTACAAGAGTCTCACCTCTTGTCATGGCGTTTGTATTTTATAGTGTATCAGAAATGGATACCATGCTTTGTATGATGTCAAAATGTTAGATTATTTATTTAAAATGATGATTTAGGAAAAAAAAAAACCCTCCAAACCTGAGTGTTTCTGGATTAGGTATGTGGTAGTTTAGACTGATTATAAATGTTTTTCAAAAGGTCTCTTTCATTTTTTCCTATTTTGAAGAGTTTGATGACCTTCAAGGCCTCTTGCTTCTCAACTGTGACCCATTACCATAGAGACTCAAGGCTTTCATTCAGATAGACTTTCTCATCCAAATTTTAGACTTGTAGGACCACAGCTTAAAGTAAAACCCTTAGTTAAGGAGTTGCTTTTTTGTATGTATCAAGAAAGATGTAATTCATTTTAAAGGAAGAAACTTGTTTTAAAAAGTAACCTTTCTGATAAAACATTCAAAAACTTTAGACTTTAAAAATTGAATAAGGGTAAACCAAGCAGTATTATATGGTGATCAAGAGCACAGTCTTTGGATCCTGATAGACCTGGGTTTGAGTCCCAGATCTTCTAGCTAAGTGATCTTGTATAAAGTGCTTAATACTTCCAAGCTTCGGTTCTATCATCTGTAAAAGGAAGTTTATAATAATGCCAATCTCCTAGGGATGATGTGAAGATTAAATGAGATAATGGCTATAAAGCACTTACATTTCTGCCTGGCATATAGTGGGTTTCAGTAGGGAGGGAATTTTTACTATATGTAACACTTGTTACTATATGTAACATATGTTACTATATGTTACTATATGTGCCATATGCTACGTTATGTAGCATAACAGTAACTATATGTACTAAATGCTCACTATAGTGTTCCCTGTTACTGTTGTTATTCCTTAAAAAGTAGCATTATTAATTACTTGTTTTTCATCATGTATATGTTGAGCACTTAATTGTTAATGCTGCTCATTATCTTGAATAAAATTAAGTAGGACATTTTGAAGGCCCTGAACAGAGAGGTTTGTGCTTTTGCTTATGTAACTTTAAATGACCAGCTGCACTGTGTCTGCAATTGCAAATTCTGGTGAGGAAGTTTATATTTTCATGCCACGGAGATTTTATGCCCTTCTTTTTCTTTCAGTGAACTAAATATCTTTCATATGGATTAGGTATCATCTTTTTATAGAATCCCACTGTTGTGAAAAAGAGAAGCTGAATGTAGTGCCTGGCACACAGTGGGAGTGTTCGAGATGTTAACTAATGAGTGAACGTGGAGTGGAGTGTAGAAATGCAGTATATTCATACTGAATATAAAATTTGATAATTAACAGTGCTTAGTGGGAGAAAATAAGGAGTCTAATGAATTTTATTATTAATGAGCAAAATTGTAAGAAACCATTTTGCTTGGGTGATACTAGATAGTTGTGAACATTGTCATATGTAACAGTGCCCGTATTAGCAATAGATGATTCACAAATCTTTTTCTTTTCTGTCAAGTGCTGTTTGCTTCGGTGGTTTGGCAATTTTCTCTCTGTATGTTTTTAGACATGTACTTGCTATTGATTATGCATCTCTTCTGTGGGTGAACTGAAATGAGTGACAGAAGACAGATGTTACCTACAGCATCTGTGGTGCAAATGACATGCCAGATGTCAAGCAAGAGATCTTAACATAATCCAAATAAGATTTTAAATGACCAGAAGAAATAGTTTACCTTGGAATAAAGCATTTCCCAAGGATTATAAGCCTCCAGTCTCTCAGGCAACTGATAAGTGTCACTACTGATAGAATGGAGCACCTAGGCATGACAAATTGGTCTTAGGTCTCCGGTAGAAAGGCCATATTACTAAGTCAGGATTCTTCCTGGGCTCTTAGTCTTTGTTTTTCAAGGTTACTGATTTTGAATTAGAAAGAGATGCAGATGGGGTTTTTGTGTTGTCAGACTTAATAGAGCTGACCTGTTAATACACCAAGGTTTAAAACAACAAAAGGAAATAAAAGCCCTTAATTATAACTGTGCTCCACAGTCCAAACATTTGCCATAAATTGAGTGAAGATCATTGCAGGTCTGACTTTGAGTGAGTTATTCAAATCTTCATGAGAAATTAGACAAGTTTGTCTTGAAGGAATCCTTTTTCTCAATTTTGATGTGAAATATTTTCTCTAGAGCATATCTTTAGACGTTAGTAAAAGGCAAAATGTTACTGTATTGTCTTTATTATTTTTTTAAATAAAAGCAATTGTTTAACTGGGTTTGCAAAGATGAACAGATATGACCAGATAAGTGTTCCGATGATTTGGACATGTTTTCATTTACTTAGTTTGAGGTACTTGTTCAAAGTAAGATGTATGTAAAATCTGATACTTTGCTGGATCTATGTAAAAGTTTTTGTTTACAAGATAGTTTGGGAAGGTAACAAGTAGCTAACATCTACACAAATGAAGTGTAGAAAAACAATGACTGTTGGATATTTTGCAAGAGATGTTCAAAAAAGTTTGAGTAAAATTATGCAGATAAGTTTTGGAAGAGGTGAATTATGTGAAAACTTTTTTGCATCTATTCCATTTTTGTTTACAGTGAGAGCACATTCTGGACAGGATCAGAAGTAGAGAATGAAGTTCTAAGAGAAAGGGAAAGACAAGAAAGGCTTCAGTAGTACAAGAAGAAAAGTGGGATGTAAGACAGGAA